TTCCTCTTTGCAGCCATTGCTGAGAAGCTCAAAATATTCTAGCACTATAATGCTGCAAATCTAAATGGAGCAAAGTGCAAATTCCATCCATCCATCCAGGATTCTCTCAAATGTAAAAATACAAGAATGTTCAAGGATCAATGCCAATCAGACATCAAGATAAACAAGTGGGGTATCTTCATAGAAAAAACCAGGGTTGAAAAAGTTGAAAATTTTCAACTTTTTCAACTCCCTTTTCCTTTACTTTACATTTAAAATGTAGTTGAAAAAGTTGAAAATTTTCAACTTTTTCAACCATGTTTTTTCTCCAGTCCACATTCATCACATTCTAGCACTGGCATTGTACACAGACTTGGTGGATGCCAGTCACTGCGCAAACCCTATCAAATCCTCAAGATCATGTTGACATGACATGCTATGGCAATTCCCTAGGACTGTTTGGGACCTGTTTCAAACATTTTGCAACTGCCAATATTTCATGAATATAAAAAAACGTGATCCAGTCCAATGAAAAAATGAGTGTACATTTCCCTTGATTGAGTGAAAACAATGGATCAAAACAATGGACCAACCAAGGACCAACAAGGGACCAAAGTTTTTTTCCAAAAGGTTTGCATGAAATGGTGCCCATTGAGATCATTCAAATATTGCGCATTTGAAGTTCGAGTGCTTTTTTCAAAAACAAAACTAGCATCCCTCCATCCATTCCCTCCTTCCCTCCCTTCCCTCCCTTCCCCTTCCCTCCATCCCTCCCTCATTCCATCCATCCCTCCCTCCCTCAACATACAAGTATTTGGCATGACACCCTGCCAGCATGCAATGTGTTTTTCCATATTGCCAACTGCACATGCCAATTACTCCTGCTGATGCTGCCTATGCGTAGCTGCAGCATACGCACGATAGCCTGCCTCATTCCTTGTAGGAGGAGGAGGCAACATGGGAGCGGCAGGCTGGTCGGCCACATCATAAACTTCTGCCACTGTCACCGTCGAATTGACCAAAAACCACCCCACAGGCTTTGGGGGGTGGTCAGTGGTCTTTGGCATAGCTTTGGCTGCAGGTGCTTTCACAACCGGCTTGGGGACAGGCATGGCTTTGAAGCCTCCGAATTTCATGTTTGGTGGCCTTGCAGGTGGTACCGCTGGCGGTTTCGGTGGATGAGGCACAGGAGGAGGTACAGGTGGTACCTGGCAGGTATCATGGTGGTTTTTTCCGTCCCTCCCTCACCATGCTGTACAATGGTCTTGCATAAATGTGCTTCTATGAATTAATTAGTCTTTGGCACTTTCAGCTCCATCCCAGTCCGTCTCTTGCAGTGCCTCCCTCCCAGTCCCAGTCCCTCCCTCCCAGTCCCTTTTTTCCAGTCCCTCCCTCCCAGTCCCGTACTCTCGGTCCCTCCCTCCCAGCCAAGAAACGCACTTTGTGCTCATACAGCCGACCCGCCAGTAGTACCTCTTAGAGCACAACCTGCAAGGACGCCACCAGGTCCGGTTATCCTCGGTCCACTGGTCAGGACACCATGGGCGAGGAGCAGCAGGCGCAGCGTCCGGGGCAGCTTTGGCAGCCAAAGCCTCCTGGCATGCCTCTGTCACAGTGGCATGTATGGCAGCCAAGCTTGGGTTTGCAGGCACAAAGCCATCAGGCCCACCCATGCTCTCTTGCAACTGCTCCAAAACAATGGATGCAGCTTTGGCTTCAGGCGACATTTCTTCTTCCCCCTCTACAGGGGGCACAGCTTTGGCCTGGGGCTCATTGGCCTTGGCCTTGGCTTTGGCCTTGCACTTTGCTTTTGCAGGGGCACTGGCAGGCCTCTTCAGGGAAGGCATGGTGGCACCGAGACATGATGGCACCGAGACAGCTCAGGATCGCTCACATGAGGCATGCATCAAGCAAACTGCGACCAAGCATGTGTCAAGCGCCCAGTCCCCCTTAGACAATCCCTTTTACAGCTACAAATTATTCCAACATCATCCCTTCTAAAAAACACCATTGGGGTCATGTACAACAATTTAGCTCCTCCCTCCCTCCTGCACATGGTTGGTTTGCAACAATTTTAAAACAGAACACTTTCAAGCCACCATCCTTCCCACCAAGGTCGCCTCCCTCCCTCCCTCCCTCATAAACATTGTGGTGGTTTGTCGTTTGTTCCTTTTGTACGTAAGAATGTGTCAGTTGAAATTGCATGTGTTCACACAGCCTGGCCTGTTTGCAACAACACACACTGCAGATGCGTTCACATATACATTCGAACATGCGCATTCCCCAAAAAACAAGTGCAGGTTTTGGACCACAGTGTACCGTGTTCTACGCAGATCGTGCCCACTCCTTCACAGCTTGGACATCGTCTCCAGCGGTGAGCTTAGCCACAGCATCCTTGACAATGCCAAAAACTTGCTGTGGAGTCCTTTCACCAAAGGGGACACAAAAGAGCTGGGCTTTGGTGCCAGTCTTTGCACGAATGGCGTACGAATTGCTGTTCTTATAGTGCATGACAGCAAATAAATGATTCGAGGCATCACTACACTTTGGAAGGCCAACAGGGGCAGCTGCCGGCTTCTTCATGGCTTTCAAACTCCCAGAGTCAGCAGGTGCTTTGCTGGCAGGCCTTTTCAAGGCCATAGCAGCTGCCTTTGCAGCTGCCTTTGCAGCTTTTTTGACCTTGGGATCCATGGCCAACACCATGGAATTGGGAATCTCACTTTCGTGTTCTTCCTCGCTAGAAAAACAGCCCAAGGCAAAGCTTCCCGGGCCCACCTTCATGGTGGCAGTTGTTTGGGAGCCGTCAGGAAAGAGTCGAACGAGGGCCACGGCGTGCGAACAAGTGTACTGCTTGTAGTTGACATCTGGGGGTGCTGCCGACGCCTGGCTTGCGAGAATTTCTTGGGAGCTGCAAACCTCAATGGGGACCAACTGGGAACTGCTGGATGCTGCCAACTCTGGGACAGTGTCCACGCCAAACTTCTCGTAGAGCTTGGAGACTTGCTCTGGAGACAAGTTTTGGAGGTCCTCCTTGCCTTGCTCAGACGCGTTTGGCACCTCAGCCAAGCCCTCCTTGCTCAAAAGCTTGATTATCCTGGCAACTGCAGGGGCAAGCTTCTTGCCTGAGGTGGCCTGCTTCTTCTTCAGGTAGATGTGCTCCAAACCTGCTTGAAGTCTTTGAGCAAAAGTCTTGACTTCGCCATGACTCAAGGCCCAAGCTTCTTTGATGCAAGTTTGCAGGAACTTGCCAGTCTTGCGCCTCTGAATGCGGCATATGTCCATGAGGAGATCTTCGAGCCTTGCGCACAGAATGTCTGGGTCCGGCTGCAAGTAGTCTGCAGATTTTGGTCCTCCTGAAAATCGCGACGAGAGTTCGAGCATCGGGTTCTAATCCCGCCATGGCGGCAGGGCACTATATACAAACTGCTGAGCCATGCGAGACAAGAAGAGTGATGCTCATGTGTTCCCCTCCCTCCCTCATGTGTTCCCCTCCCTCCCTCATGGTGTAAAAAAAATAGACCCTTATTTGACTTTGCAATCTAGGGCTTACACCCTTATTTAAAAAGGGTCGAATTTTCAAGGGTCTATTGGTCCCTCTGGGGTTAACTCAAGGTTTTTTTGTGTTTTTTGCGGTGCCCGCGCGACCCTCTGCGGGGATCGGCGTGGTCGAGGTGCAAAAACTCGAGGTTTTGTTTGCATTTTTTTGATATGCCCGCGCGACCCTCTGCGGGGATCGGCGTGGTCGAGGTGCAAAAACTCAAGGTTTTTTGCGTTTTTGACATTCCAGGATGAACCCTCTGCGGAGATCGTGCGTGTCGAAGCGCGCTCGCTGTGGCGCCGTGCGAATTCTTCTTAGTCTCGGCGAACCCTCTGCGGAGATCGTGCGTGTCGAAGCGCTCTCGCTGTGTGGCGCCATGCGATTTTTGTTGCTCGCGAAATGGCCTTTGGAAGTTGTCTTGTGGTTTGCGCGCCTGCTTTCGCAATCACGCGGTCGCGGGTTCGATTCCCCCTGGTCCGCGGCTGCTCCGGCTTGAAAATCGCAGCTTTTAAGTACAGACGTAGTATGCAGAGCGTGCTCCTGCAGCTCCGGCTGGAAAATCGCAACTTTTAAATACAGACGTAGTACGCAGAGCGTGCTCCCGCAGCTCCGGCTGGAAAATCGCAACTTTTTAAGTACAAACGTAGTACGCGGAGCACACTCCCGCAGCTCCGGCTGGAAAATCGCAGACTCGTGCAGAGCTAACTTGCACAGAGCCAGTTGCGCAGAGCCACTCGCGAAAAGTAGCTTGCGTAGAGCCAACTTTCACAGAGCCAAGCTGCGCAGAGCCATCTTGCACAGGGCTAAGTTGCGCGAGCGTGCTTTGCAGAAACTGTGGCCGTCGTGTAAGCTTTGCTATTGATTGCTTTTCCTTTTGCTTGTAATTAATTCGTTTCGAGCTTTACGAGCTTTACTCTTCTTGTTTTAGCGGATTTAAATATGTGGGATCGATGTTTCCTCTCGTAGGACGATGAGATGGAGCTCTCATGTGACCATACACATTGAGCATCGCCGCGTGCAGACACACTCGCCGCAGCAATGTAAAAAGGTGTCTCCGCGGCTGGATGAGCACCTGGGGAAAAATGCTTTCGGGCCAATCGTCCTCTAGTTTGGTGAAGTCTCTTGATCAGGTCAGTATTATTTACAAAAATCCAGACACAGAATTATTTTTGGTTAGGAGAATTATAGAAAGGACACATATCTTTTTACTTCTCTTTCATCTTTTTTTGGCGCGACAGAAAAGGGAGTTCCTGGTGCGCCTGCCTGGTATTTCGCTTGTATTATGACTATTTCGTTTACCAGCTAATCTTTTCTTCCTTGCATAGACCTTTCTGTAGATCCCTTTCTCTCGTCAACATGTCCTATATAAAATGTATGTATGTACGTGTGTTTGCAGGTATGTAGTTCTGTTTGTCATTTTTTATTTGTTGATTTGATTTGTTTGGGCGGTTTTTTGCTCAACTCATGTGTTCCCGCCGGCAAGGAGTGCAAGGATAAGGCCCTGGCATCGCTGAAGCTTCTAAAGGGCACCAACGCACCGCGGCCAGCAAATTGGGGTGGCAGCTAGGACTCGTTACTTTGACTCCAGGAATTGTGCGCCCAAAAGACATGCAGCTTCAAGGTTTGGTTGTTTGTGTTGTTGGAAGAAACACATCCTTCGGGCAGCCTCATTCAGCTTTGGCAAGGCGGGTGATTTGGCCTGGGGGAGGCTCATTGGCCCGGCTTGCTCGCGGTTTCGCGAGGTTGCCATGTTTGCGTCAAACAACATGTTCAGGCCGACCAGTGCCGACCAGGGTTGCCGACCAGCCGAATTCAACTTGACGTCAGCAGGGGCAGCACGGACACAGTTTGAAGATGCAAAATACGAAGCTCAACAGTCCGTTTGTACCATCCAATTTCCGAGAGCGCGCTGACTTGCTATTGCCAGTGGGCTGATGTCGTCACAAACTAAAGGCAGGCTGAGGCCCTGCTAGTGCCAGCGAGGTAACCAAAGAGGAGTTCGAGGCCATGCTGAGGAAGGCAGCAGAGGACCGCTCTGCAACTGTCACTGCCCGACCCTTGGGTTGACCGGCTGCAAATGGTGCAAATTGTTACCCGGGGCTGTGTTGAAACTTGGAACTTGGTCTATCGCTGCTGGCCAGCTCGCCGGTTCAGCAGAGCGAGCAGGAAGCCCGAGAACTTTTGAGGATTGTATTCTTCCCTGGCCCCACCATGCGTCCCCATTTCCAGGAGCGCATGCGAATGGTTGTCAAGGAATGCATGACTGTGGCCAGCACAGAGGCGGAGAAGGACAGCCGACTGGGGAGCGCTAGCTCCTTCCGACGTGCTTTCACATGCTGGGCAGCAGGTATTTATACACAAGCATGTGTGTGTGTGTGTGTGTCAGCAAGCTTGCAGAAGGTTCCAGGACCCAGCTTCCAGCGAACAGCAAAATCACCATTGGTCTTGTTGCCCGGCTTGATTTTCACCAGCAGCTCAAACAGCAACATAATGAACATCCATGCATCCTTGCACATGGCCTCTCACTGATGCCCACGTCGCGCAGCAGGAACTGCGGCTTGTGTGTGCGCGCGGTTTGACATTGGATGCCAAGGGTGGCTGCTCGATCGAGTGAACATAATCATGCAAAAAACAGCCCTGTCCAGGATGCCTGCTTTACGAGCATGGAAGCAAAGAGGGCAGCTGCCAAGATCAGCGGCATGGATCCAAGTGAGTTCAAGGCTCGTCCGGGTGATGGGGATCCTGAGTTTGGAGATTTGGTTTGGTTGCTTGCGCGTTAGTTTCGGCACCTTTGTGTTGATGTTTGGCCTGAAGTCCAGATGGTGGCAACCAGTGGACAAAGCCGAGTTCCTTCATCCAGCTCTGTTAGCTAGAATCTAAGAATGAGAGCTTTGGCCTTCCCGTGCAATGGTGTTGCGCATGATGTTTTGTTTCATTGTGACTGCCACTACAGCCAGCGATCAAAACGAACCGCGCAGCAGCAAGAAGCACCATGACTGCAACAGCAAGAAGCACCCGGCCAAATGCGAGAAATATCCTGCTGAGCGCAGCAGTGCCTCCATCCGAACGCTCATGGCCAGGAGGGCGACCTGAAAGAGGCCATGCGCCATGGGGCAGCCAGAGACATGGCCCAGGAGATGCAGGTATGTATGAAGACTGCGTCAACGAACGAGGCCAAGCGAGGCAAGCATGTGGCTGGGGGGGCGAGGGTGTGAAGGCGAAAAACATAGAACAAATGCAAGAGGCTGCACAATTTCAATGGCCCCAAACTGTTTCGTCAAGGCTGGGCCTTCTGGATTTTTATGCAACTTGCTGTGCGAGCGCATGACAAGCACGCCGATCAGAAAGAACTTAGATGAGTTGACTCCCGGTCCACTTGGCAGTTTGCTTGACAGGCTGCATGAAGACAGACTCATTGAAGGGCTCGGTGGCGGAGAGCTTGGGCAAGGACTTTTTGCGTGCTTGAAACGCGGCAGTTCGGAACAATGCTTTTCAGAACATGGGCCTGTGCTAGCAATATAGCCAGCTTTGGCGAGACCAAACAACAAACAGTAGAGAAGCCGGCTTTTTGATTCTGGGCGGATCCTTATGCAGTTACAATTGCGTTTCCTTTCAGGCGTTGTGTTTGGATTTCGGACCTGAGCTGTCAGCTGAACCAGGTCGGTCATGCGCAAACGCAACATAGGACAGGGACAAGGTGAAGGACTCAGAAGTGAGGGAGTTCCTGGAGGAAGGGGCCCTGGAGGACCTATGGTCGCTGATGGAGAGCTGCCCGGAGGAGGAGAAGACGCAGTGCGTGGCTGCGGCCAAGGAGACCTTGGGCACCGCCATGGGCAAGACTGCGACCGACATCAGCGACCAGATGCTCAGGAAGGTCCTGCAAAGGGCGATGCAGAAGCTCGGCCGATCCGTACGTCCAATGACCCTGGGCAGTAGAAGCTGAAGGCATGGCAGCTTGTTAACTTATTGCACAGAACCCCACAATGTCTTGCCAGCTTTTTGCTTTGCGCAACTCAGCGAGCCTAGCTTCGCTGACTAGATAGCTATTGTGGCCTGCAGATTTAGTCGGCCTCGGCTCATTTCAAGTGGAATGCTGCATGCTGGTGTTTTGTTCTTCCCACTCGAAGTTAAAAGGGTGGCTGGTGCTGAGGAAGAAGCTGGGCGAGCAAATGGAGGCGTGCATGGAGGCGGCTGAGGATGACGATGCTCGGAAACAATGCAAAGACATCCTCGCCGAAGCCGCTGTCAAGGCGCGCCGTGCGCCGCTCGGAGCGTCTGCCAGCCGTGCGCTAGGGGAGAGTCACCATGGTTTTGCGTGGTGTTATTCAACGAGCTGCAGAATGATTGTGTAAGGCAATAGGGAACAGCGTTTGCCAGCAGCAGGCAACCGCCATGCCGTCAATCCTCTCCCCTGCTGACTTGCAACCGCTGCTAAGTCTTTTGGCCTCACGCTAGCGGTGGCGCTCGTATTTACCCGTGCGCGTCTCTAATTAAATGAGGAACTGTCCTTGGAATTTCGTCTTTAGCCACCCCGGAAGTCCCTCACAAAAAAGAAAGGCCCACACCTGGACCCTCCAGCGGCAGAACTTTCTGCCGAAAGGCCCCGGCAGCAGAAGTCCGCCGAAAACCCAAAAAAACCGCCCGCAAGAAAAAACACACGCAGAAACGCAACAACTACTCCGACATCCTGAAACCTGCTTCGCCGATTTCCCCCCGAATTCCGCCGACTGCCGTTTTTTCACAAAGAACTTGATTTTGAAAAAGAAACACGCTGCCATGCAAGTAAAAACACCGCCAACTGCCAAAAGGTGCCTTTTGTTCAAAAAGGCTGAAACTTCCGCCGATTTGGGCCTGGTGTATGAAGAAAAGCAGTCATGCTTTGAAGTTGATCCTCCAGAGCTCGTTGCAGGTGGGGGGCGGCGAAGGCCCCAGGGGCAAGACAGAGCTGGCGCTGATGGACGCGGGTCGTAGCGCTGCCAAGGAGCATGGCAAGGACTGCGCGGAGTCTAGGGAGGCGGGGGGGACCGGATGGGGACCGGATGAGTTTTCAACCAAGCCCGCGTGGGGCTATGAGGCTCCGGCTGGGCTTTTGCTCGCGGAGCCGTGTAATTTCATCAGTTGACTTGAAACATCAGACAAGATGCACAGACGTTTTGTAAATCCTGGGGCGCTAGGTGTGCATGCGGTTGCTGAAAGAGAAGGCAGCCCAGTCCATGGGCATGAGGCCGGACGAGATGACGGACATGGCTGTGGAGCGTCTCAACATGGAAGGCGCCAAGGGCGCAGCCAGGGATGCCGCCAGGGCGTGCGCAGAGGCCAAGGAGGCGGATAACAGCGCGACCTGCGAGGACGTGCTGGAGGTGTTCAAAGCAGCGCGGAAGAAGGACTCTGACGACTCGGAGGAGAGGCGCATCAAGCAGGACATGGCCAAGGATCTCGACAAGGAGGACATGAAGGTGTGCCTGAACGAGGATGCCAAGGCAAGCTTTACGGCCTGCATGCAGAACATCGGTGGCACTGAGAAGGTCAAGGACGAACTCTTCAAGGACATGCCGGAAGCCCGCAAGGAGGCCAAAAAAAAGCGCGCTAAGGATGAGGCTGCTGTGGAAGCCATGGGCGAGCTGTTCAAGGCCTGCATGGAATCCGCAACCACCGAGGAGGAAAAGGGACTGTGCATGGAGGAAATGAAGAGCAAGAAGGAGCTGGCAGACCTCAAGGACGATGTTGAGGATGTCGTCATGAAGTTCCAGCGGAACGTGGTGGCGGAGGCAGCCCGCGTTTGCGACAAGAGCAAGCGCAAGGAATGCGTGGACGCAGCCAAGGCGGAGCTGAAGAAGATGGGGTTGAAGGACTGAGCGGACGGGCCATGTACTAGTCACGCTGGTTGCCTAACACTGACAGAACAGAACACCATGTTGTCTTGGAAGATGTCTGGTGACAGACTTGGAATGTCTCACAAGCACCTTGAGCAAAACGGGGGCAGGATTTGTCGCCTCCTACAAGGATTCTAGAGTCTAAATCGTTCCTACACACCTTTAGGCGCAGCTGTGAAATCCAAGCGTGTTTCCAGCAACCCACTTGGCGTCGCATGATTCCATCCATAGACTCGACGGAGGAGCGTGCCTTCGGCGTGGTGAAGAAGCTCGCTGAGATCAAGGCGGCGGCTGAGACCTACGCTGCGTGCCAGGAGGCGTCCAGCACAGAGAACAGCACCTGCATTCAATTGGCGCAGGCGACCTTTGAAGAGATCAGCGGCTCCACCGAGATTTGGGACGACGAGCTTGCCGCCAAGGTGACGGACCTGGGCAACGCAATGCTTGAGGGCCGCGACATTCTGATCCGGAAGCTGAAGCAAATTGTTGTGGAGATGGTGTCTGACGCTACAAACTGCTCAGAAGAAATGCTCACCAATATCATGGACAAGGCAAGGTTGGGGCGGATTGAAAAGGGCGTCTTGATGGGGCAATATCCTGCCTTGCTGGTAGGTGGCAAACATCTCCGGCGGCTTCATGGGCAAGAACTCGTCCAACTCCTCACGGAATATCACGAACAAACTTTGCAGGATAGCTTGGGGCTTCGGGCGCTTCTTCTGCAAGATCCACACGGAGGACCAACTGTGTTGATGTCAAGCACTGGGCAAACAGGCCGAACCTATGTGGGCGAGGCTTCCTTGGCAGGCATTGTTTGATGTTCTGCGCGGCACAGTTGGCAATTTGGTTGAATGGTTGCTTTGCGGGGCACTATCCGGCAGCATTTGTCCATCAACAGGGTCGGAGGATGGCACAACTGTTGTTGCGATCGTTGCAGGACCTGGGCGATGACGAGATGGCCAATCTGTCCGACTTCCTCGCAGCAGACATGGAACTCACCGAGCTGAGCAGGCGACTCACTCAGAGGCGTTTGGCCACAATCACAGAGACCTATGCGGATCAGGCGCGGGCGCCCGTGCGTGCCCATTTCACGCTTAGGCTCTAGGGCGCTCATCTCGTAGCGATTATTGCCGCAGCGCAAAGCATCACTTGCCTTTAGCAGCCATTGCACGAATCCCCCATTGATTAGTTTAAGCACGCGCGGGGAGTCTTGACCCCAAACTGGCTTTGTGTGTGCCGGGGGGGCCGGCACGGGATTTCATGAACAATCGGTAGCTTCATGTGTGCTGAAGCGGCGGGACATGATGGTGAAATGATTCCAGTTCCAGAAGCAGAAAGCAGAACCGGTGTGTTGCTTGATTTGTGAACTGGCGCTGGGCTTGGATGCGCTTGAGGCATCCCAACGGATCCAAGTGCGTCTCACGTCATGCAAGACCCAAGCCCAGGAGTCAGAGGAGACTGCCGCCACCGAGCCCTACGAAACCACCACCCAGCAGGCGGAAACGGGAAGGTGGTGGCGTGAGGTTCGGGTGGGCAACTCTGGCTGAACATAAGCACCAGCCAGTCCTGTTGCGAAACAAAACTGGTCATGGGCTAGCTACCCCCGTGTGCTTTGCATGCAAATCTTCTTTGGGGGGTGGGGGCAACGGGCTTTGACGCAAAATGAGGAAGCCGGTTTTGGGTGTGTTTCAAGTGGAAACTTCGAGCAATGTCTTTGACAACGCTGAATGTTCCAAGCGCAGTCTTTCCATTGACAACATGCGGGTGGGTAAGCGAACGGCTGCGCAGATCGGGATCTCCGTCAGCTGCACGACGACGCTTTCAGTTCTGTCCGCAGTGGTTGCGATGATGTCCACGACTGCAGCCCTGTGAGCCAGCTACATTTCAAGCAGGTTACACGCATAATTACCCCTGGACTTGCGCATTCTTTTCAAGCCCAGAAGCAGTGCTCAGGCATGCGTGTACCGTACAAGCAACGCCAGATGGCTTCCAAATCTAGCGGGCATGAAGTTCATTCACTGGCTTCGTGACATTTGGAGGCTCCCACAATTACAGCCAGAATGTGTGGAAATTCATGTCATCAACCGTGGACGAAGGAGCAGCTAGGATCTGTGCCCGCAAGGATATATAGCGCCGTGCGATGCTAGTGTTGCTGATGCCCCAAACATTGCAATCGCCAACGCAGCTTTGTGTGCCACACCCTAGTGTAATAATGCCACCCTCGCATGTCACTACAAGTTACAAAACTTGTTTGGGTTCCTGTTTCTAAAAGCAGCTGCAAACTTTGCAGGGCAAACATCTCCTGCCAACTTCTCGGGCGTTGCTCTACTACTGAAATGGCTAGCTAACTTTGCCGGTCCGCCAACTTCTCAGAAGTCGCTCTATTTCTGAAATTGTCAGCTAGCTTGGGTTTTACTTCACAATCCCAAAAGCGCAGCTAACTTTTCCTTTCTACCTTCTCTTCTTGAGTTTTTGTCCTTCTTTCTCTGAGGTGGGTACGCCCAGCGGGAGTCGAAACGCACCCCGCTGCGGGGCTGGTCGATGTGTGCAAACGCCCAAACCCGATGATCGTATTTGTCAATTTGCAAAAACCCAAGTGTTTGCAACCTTATTTGCTCCAACTTGGTCTTCGGAAGTTGTCTCGTGGCTTGCGTGCTTGCTCTCGGTTGGGTTCGCCTCTCCCCGGTCCGCGGGCGGGCTTGTCGAGCGAAACCTGCAACTTTCATTTAAAGCAATGTACGCAGCGCTCGAAAAATCGTGACTCTTATATCCACAATGACAAGTAGTACGCAAAGTGCTCTCCTAGAGTTCCAGCTGCGAATCACAACTTTTTGCTCACACAGGCGCACGCAAAGCACGTCTCGGAGCTCGAAAGTCGCAGTACAAAGGGTGCAGGAAGCGCGCTCCCAGTGCTTCAGTTTGACAATTGTATATCAAGCGCAGGGAAGTACATTCGCGCAGCTCCAGGTTGGAAATCGCAGCCAGCTTTGAATTGCAAAAGTAGTGCTCGAAGTGTGCTCGCACACAACTCCAGCTGGTAAATCGCAACGTTTTAGCATAAGAATAGTATGTGGCGCCACGCTCCGTCAGCTCCTTTTCGAGCCATGGCCATTTTGCTGCAGTATAAAAGTGAACTACATAATAACCAAGCAGTAAGCAATCAATTCACTATTACTTTGCATAGTCGTGACATCAAACTCCCCAGTCGCGTGTTTCTAAACTTCTAAGCGATCCTTCGGCCAGTTCTTCTTTCTTCCGCAAATGTCAGGGTACCATCTTGCCAAGGGTGCGTGTGTTTTACGGAGCGCGTACCCCCCCTCCTGTAGCACCCCGCACCTGACGAGGCTTAGGAAGCCTTGCGAAGCTTCGCCTGATTCTCGCACTGCGCTTTTGGTGGGAACGCTAGGGAGGCTCTTGGGGAACTTGGACAAGAGGTAGGGAAATATTGATGTACCACCTTCCTACGCACCCCGGATAGGACCTATCTACCTTATGGCGGTAGGGGGAGCGGGGGTGCAGGACCTTCGTAACATTGTTTCTTCATTTAAGTTGTGATTTCCTAAGTGCTCACTGCCTGGGCGCCAATCACGCTGAATGCCAAGATGCTGCGGTGTCACTACGATCTGTGCCAGTTCTATTTCAATGGCTGACACGGTGTTGCAACACATGCGCTGAAGCTGAGATCTTTGGCGCTTGAGGTGGCGCTTCGATATGCTCAGCTCAGTTTCGTGCAGTTTAGAGCCAGCCTTGTTTAGCTCCTTGTTCTTGTTGTCCACGGTGGGAGGTGCCACCTCCAAACAAAAGCTGAGGTTGTGCTGCTTGGAGCGTTCCCTAATACGGCCCAATGGGGCCAGTAACCTCCAGGTGCTCGACGCCCGGCACTTTGTCTTACCTGAATCCAGACCGCGGCATTACGTTGCGTGACGGATTGCTAAAACAGAAGCCGCCGAGAGTCCTTGAGAGCGGCTGAAGCTCAGCCAGCCATCCAGACGTTGCTGATTTGGTGCCTGGCAGTGCCGCAGCCCAGGTCATGGGCCTGAACGCAGCCTTTGGCCTGAGGGTGGAGATCTCGCACGGCTCGCAGCGGGGCTCCCCAGATTGTGGGCGACCAACCACTTAACCAACAATGGACTATGCATTGGTACGGTCGGAATGTCATGAAGAGTAGATATTTTGCGATGAAACGCGATGGTCCCCCCAAATTAACGAGACCAAAACGAGATAGTTTTGCAGAAAGCCATGCAACCCGAGATGAAACAAGATTGACTCCTAGTGACGGAGCTGACCTTGTCAGCTGTGAGAGCAACGGCTGTGACAGACCAGACTTTGTGAGTTTCTTGCCACCGACTGGCTGCGACAAAGCAGACCCATCCGCCTGACCTGACAGCAGCGACAGCAGTGACCCAGAATTGCTGTGAGACAGCAGACTGCGCAACAGACATGCTAAGAACGCAGCAACGCTGAAGTGCTTTTGCAAGTCTCGCCGCGCGAGGTCTCAGGCATTCTCGGGGCGGCGAAGCAGAAGCAGCAGCTCAAAACGAGTCCGTAACGAGTCCGACGCCTTCACAAATTGAACCCTGGCCCATTTGAGCGGTCCAGTTCTGCATCCTCCTCGGATTATCGAGAGAACGATGCGAGAGAACAATCGGCCACGATTATATTGAAAAACAGGGCTAAGCGAGCACAAAAACAAGATCAAACAGCTTTTGGCGTCGCACTAGACAAGCAATATAGTCGGATAGCTGCTCAGTGGCCCAAAGTTTGGGAGGGCGGCTCCTTTTGAAAGGGCAACGATGATGATCACGGGCTGGGAGATTGGACTTGGGTGGTTGGTTGGGCTGCATATTTTTGGGGGAGGGGCGCGGGCTTGCAAGTTTCCTTGAGGAGCCAACATGTTCAAGCTGGGCATTCACCTGTGTTTACAATCAGCGCAAAGTCTCCATTTGCACGCCTAAGACAAACAACGCACGGACAATATTTCATCCACGGATTTTGTGTGCTCATGTCGTTTCACTCGCGGCTTCCGTGGCCACTTTCACCAACCCAAGATAACCCAAGCACGAGAGGGGCTGCAGCACTTGCTTAAGGCCAAGCCCAAAGCTTGGCCATCCTGGTTTTGATCTGCACCGCTAGCTTCCTTTGGATGTGAAGTGTGTCAGCGCATGCACCAATTGGTTTGCAATAGTTGGGGAAATGGAAACGTTTCCCCGGAGTTGTTTGGGGGACTGATCGTCCGGGGGCCAAGGCTACTCCTCGGAGTTGCTACAGCGACAGCTGTCCTGGCCGGGCTCACGGTGTCAAATTTGAGGGAAGGTGGGTGGAATGGACATTCGCAAGGCTCGTGCCGTGCATGCTAAAACGAAGCAAGAAATGCGGCAAAGGGATGCTAGGGGCAAAGCCGGCCCTACAAATATTACTTGTGTTGTCAACGCTGCATTTTGCCAGATTCATGTGAGAGAGTCCAGGATGATTTATGTGTACTTGAAACACTGCAATTCAGCATGCGCGCATTTGGAGGGCCAATGGTTTTGTGCTCATTCGTAGTCTTAGGTTTATTTCTTGTTGTTGTTTCTTGTTACTTGGGAGGCCGGGGGCGGCGCCTTTGATTGCGATTGTTCTGCGAGGAAATCGCCAGGGTCCTCACCAAGAGGGATGTCTAGATGCTTCAGCTGTTTAAAAGTGAAGGGTTTACTCGGTCAGTTTTGGGGCTTGCATCGACTGCATCCGGAGTGTGGCTGTTCAAGCGGAAAATGTGCGAGCAGCGCACTTGGACGGTTTTGTCCTCGCGCCTGTTGATGATGCCGGTTGACAGTGTCGAAGCAAGCTCTGGCCACGCGAACGGCGATGGTGTGCGCATTCAATCGTTCAGCATGAATGCCCAGCAGAACCGTACTCTTATGAATTCCCTTCAGCTGTGCAATACCGCCATATTTGCTTTTGGGAATGATGCTGCCATTAGGTCAGAAGCCGAAGCATCAAGCAGCTGTTACGCACCTGCAAGCGGAAAACCGAGGAGCTCCGTGTCGCATAGAATTCGTGAATACGAACAGCGGGTGAGCGAAGAGTTCAACGTTGAGTTGGCCTTCGCCGAAGCTGAGTTGATGACCAAAGATATGAAATCAGCCCGGTCGCAGAAGTCTCTTTTGGACCGTTGTCCCCAATCCGTTCCAGTATGTCAAGGAAAAGCTGAGAGCATTTGTCACTATTGATGGTTACGAAACAGAGTATACTCCCAGTGTTATGCCACCTGCAGAGCGTGAAGCATTGAAGTCTAATGCGCGCGGTCCGCACGGATCTGTGGAGATTCCATCCGGTAGTGTTAGGTCCCCGCCTAGGACAAAGTGCTCCAGAGGCGCCCCTGCAATTCTCTCAGGGGCCAATGCCAGCTGACCGTAAGAAGGGTGGAAAGCCGCCCGACGGCCCGCCACCCGATGATGATGGGAATGGTGACGGCGAAGGTGATGAGGAGGAAGGGGATGGCCTTGGTGCCAACCTCGGCCAAGAAGCCTTCGCCAAAATGCTGATGAAGTTAGTGAAAGGTCACACGGATGACAAGAAGCCCAGGACTCGCGAAAGCGAGACGTTGCGGTTCAAGGAGACGCCCACTCCTGAAACGTACCGTGAATGGAAAAAGTCAGCATCCGACCGACTAGACAAGGCTTGGCCTTGGATCATGGAAGTGTGGTTGGATCGGAGCTTGGTGAGCCTGGTAAATTCGTGACACTGGGCACGAAGATGCTCGCAGCGCTCACGTGCTCAGCGAAAGGCGACCCAGCAAAGGAGGAGTGTGCCAAGGAGGCGAAGGTATCATAGACCTCAAGCGTTTCGTAAACGCATTGGACTCCGTCATTGGCGGCAAAAAGCCACCTGAA